GCTCGTGCCCATAATCCTAGCAGTCTGGGAGGCAAAGGCAGGTGGATTGCTTGAGCTCAGGAGTTCGACACCAGCCTGAGGCAGAGTGAGACCCTGTCTCTAAAAAAAGAAAACAGGCTCGGCGCCTGTGGCTCAAGCGGCTAATGCGCCAGCCACATACACCTGAGGTGGCGGGTTTGAATCCAGCCTGGGCCTGCCAAACAAAGATGGCTGCAACCAAAAAAAAATACAGGCGCATTGTGGCAGGCACCTGTAGTCCCAGCTACTTGGGAGGTGGAGGCAGGAGTTGGAGGTTGCTGTAAGCTATGATGCCACAACACTCTACCTAGGATGACAACTTGAGGTTATGTCTCAAAAGAATATACAAAAAAAAGAACAATTAACTGGGTATCATGGCATACACCTATAGTCCCAGCTACTCAGGAGGCTGAGGCAGGAGGATTGGTTGAAACCAGGAGTTCGAGGTTGCTGTGATTTATTATTACGTTGCTGTGCTCTAACTGGGGCAACAGAGTAAGACTGTCTCCAAAAAAAAAAAAAAAAAGAAAGAAAGATGTATTTGTTCTTGCTTTGCTCAAGAACATAGACTCTTGGCTTGGCACCCATAGCACAGTGGTTACGATGTCAGCCACATACACGGAGGCTGGCGGGTTCCAGCCAAGCCTTGGTTCGAACTGCAACAAAAAAATAGCCGGGCATTGTGGCAGGCACCTGTAGCCCCAGCTACTTGGGAGGCTGTGATGCCACGGCACTCTAACAAGGGCAACATAAGACTCTGTCTCAAAAAAAAAAAATAGACTCTTTGCTCAGTGCCCCTGCTCAGTTGTTAGGGCGCCAGCCCCATATTCTGGGGCTGTCGTGTTTGAACCCAGCCTGGGCCTGCTAAACAACAACAATAACTTCAACAACAACAACAACAACAAAAATTAGCCAGGCAATGTGGCAGATGCCTGCAGTTATCATTCTTATTTGGCAGGCCCAGGCTGGGTTCCAATCCACCAGCTCTGGTGTATGTGGCTGGCGCCCTAGCCGCTGAACTATAGGTGCCAAGCCCTAGACTCTTATTTTTTATACTTTAATTGCATCAGTTGAACAAGGCACTGAGAAATACATTGTTCTGATGCAGCATGGGACTATAGAAACTAAGTAACATTTAAAAAAAATTCTTCTTGGGCGGGCGCCTGTGGCTCAAAGGAGTAGGGTGCTGGCCCTATATGCTGGAGGTGGTGGGTTCAAACCCAGCCCTGGCCAAAAACTGCAAAAAAAAAAAACCCAAAAAAACAAAAAACTTCCTGTTTTTTAGGCCAGGCCTGGTGGCTCACGGCTGTAATCTGAACACTCTGGGAGGCTGAAATAGGTAGACTGTTTGAGATCAAGAGCAAGACCCTGTCTCTACAAAAAAATGGAAAAAGTAGGTAGATGTGGTGGCAGGTGCCTATAGTCCCAGATACTCAGGGGACTGAGGCAAAAGTTTCGCTTCAGCCCAAGAGTTTGAGGTTGTTGTGAGCTGTGACCCCCACAGCACTGTACCCAGGGTGACAGAGTGAGACTTTGTCTTAAAAAAAAGAAAAAGATAACAGCGTTTCATTTGAACTTAATTCACTAAATTAATTAGTTATATTCCCTAATTCATTATAAACGTCCTTGGGAGATACATCTATTATGACTTAATAATCATGATATCTGTAACTTATTCTCCAAAGGTCAGAAAAAATAAACACATAAGCAAATAAATAAGTAGAGAGAGTAAGAGGGAGAAAGGGGAGGAAGGTAGGAAAGAAGGAAAGGAAGGAAGAGGAGATAGATAAGCAACTGATGTGGCAAAATGTTAACAATTGGTGAATTTGGGCAAAGGGTAAATAGGTAGGATGTTCACTGCATTATGTTTAAGCTTTTCTGTAGACTTGAAAATGTTAAATTAAGGGCAGCGCCTATGGCTCAGTGAGTAGGAGGCCGGCCCTATATATCAAGGGTGGCGGGTTCAAACCTGGCCCCGGCCAAATTGCAACAAAAAAATAGCCAGGCGTTGTGGCAGGCACCTGTGGTCCCAGCTACTTGGGAGGCTGAGGCAAGAGAATCACCTAAGCCCAAGAGCTAGAGGTTGCTACGAGCTGTGATGCTACGACACTCTACCAAGGACAACAAAGTAAGACTCTGTTTCTAAAAAAAAAAAAAAAAAAGAAAGAAAGAAAGAAAGAAAAGAAAATGTTAAATTGAAATGTTGAAAGAAAAAAAAACAGGGCTCCACCTGTAGCTTAGAGGGGAAGGCACCGGCCACATGCACCAGGGCTGGTGGGTTCAAACCCAGCCCCAGCCTGCTAAAAACAAAAAATAGCCAAGTGTTACGGCAGGCACCTGTAGTCCCAGCTACTTGGGAGGCTGAGGCAAGAGAAATGAGGTTGCTGCGAGCTGTGATGCCACCACATGGCACTCTACCGAGGGCAACAAAGCAAGACTCTGCCTCAAAAAAAAAAAAAAAAAAAAAGAGATAATGACAACTGCAACAAAAAAATAGCTGGGCGTTGTGGCGGGCGCCTATAGTCCCAGCAACAAGGGAGGCTGAGGCAGGAGAATTGCTTGAGCCTAAGAGTTTGAGGTTGCTGTGAGCTATGATGGCGCAGCACTCTATGGAGGGTGACATAGTAAGACTGTCTCAAAAACAAAACAAACAAAAAACAAATAAAAATAGAAAAATTAGCTGGAACTCAGCGCCTGTGGCTCTCAAGTGGCTAAGGAACCAGCCACATACACCTAAGCTGGCGGGTTCGAATCCAGTCCAGGCCAGCCAAACAACAATGACGGCTGCAACCAAAAAAATAGCTGGGTGCTGTGGCAGGCAGGAGTTGGAGGTTGCTTTGTACTGTGATGCCACGACACTCTACCGAGAGTGAAAGCTTGAGACTGTCTAAAAAAAAAAAAAAAAGAAAGAAAGAAAGATAAGAAAAGCAATTCACTAGTATATCATTTGATAAGGAATACCATGTTTTATCCAGATGACTTTAGTGCACTTAAGCAGTCAGAATTTTGTTCTAAAAACTGAAATAAAAAAAAGGAGAAGGCCATTGGTGATATGGCACAGGAACTCAAAACCAGTTGCAAGAATTCAAGGCAAGGTGTCTCTAAGTGAAGAAAAAGCTGAAGTTTCCTTTATAATTGGGCAAAAGATGACACAACATGTGATCTCAATGGAAACACCCTGTGAGTCTTCTAGAATGGGAGTAAGAACACTTTTTTGAGTCTGTCATTCTGGGTAGAGCACCTGGGTGTCATAGCTCACAGCAACCTCAATCTCTTGGGCTCATGGGATCCTCTTGCCTCAGCCTCCTGAGTAAGTGGGACTACAGGCACCACCACCATACCCAGCTAATTTTTCTCTTTTTAGTAGAGACTGGATCTTGCTCTGACTCAGGCTAGTGTGGAACACCTAAGCGTAAGCAATCTACCCACCCCACCTCTCACAGTGCTAGGATTATAGGCGTGAGCACCTGGCCTTTATTTTTGTTTTTGTATGGGCACATCTTTAAGGCTAATGAGTAGTCTTCAAAAGGGTGAAGCTAATCTTGTATTTGTAATATATGTTTACATATTAAAAACTATGTAAATCTAATACACAGTGTTTTTGTAATGTGTGATTAAACAGCCAGGCATGGCGTCTCATGCCTGTAATCCTAACACTCTGGGAAGGCCAGCCTGAGCAAGAGTGAGACTGCTGTCTCTAAAAAACAGCCGAGTGTTGTGGTGGGTGCCTATAGTCCCAGCTACTTGGAAGGCTGAGGCAAAAGAATTGCTTGAGCCCAAGAGTTTGAGGTTGCTATGAGCTGTGGTGCCACAGGGTGACAAAGTGAGACTACTGTCTCAATTAAAAAATAAATGTGATTAAACTAACAAGGCTGTCTTCAGCAGATGCTGTCTGATTCGTTTGCTTACCTTTGCGGTAATTATGGCGATAGATGTGAAAGGCATAGAGAAGTTCATAGTAATTGTGAGTCATAAGGTCCACAGCTCGAGCACGTGATTCAATTATTCCCACAACCTAATGAAGGGGAAGCAATCAGATATCAAAGTTGGCAGTAATCATGGCAATCACACAGTTGTTTCTAGCCATCAATGGCTAACTAATGGTTACCTCATTATGCAGATTCACATAGGGAAACTCTACAAGATCTTGTAGCTGTGAGCGTTCGCAAAGAACTACCACCAGCTGCCGTAAACAATCTAACTGCCTAGAAGGAAAGAAAGGGATTTGAGGGCAAATGTCTTAGTAAGTTAAATGGGGCAGGTAAATTGCCTTCTCTAAAAACGACTGTGAGATTACCTGCTGGAATCAGGAATTTGCGTTAAGGCTTCATATGCTTGGCTATTGTGACCCAAATCCAAATGATGCTTGAAAATGCATGTCCTTAAAGTAGCCTAAATATCAAATTTGGATCAAATATGAGACAAGAGCAAAGAAGTGAAAATACCACATCTATAGCAAACCTTAAGGAAAATGACTAAATTACAGTTAGCTCTTACCTGACTTTTCCAGTCATCACCTGCTTCAGTGATTGCTGATGTAGCCAACTGGATAACGAGTTCAGGCAAACCGACAACATCCAGTAGACGTAAAACCTAGGGAGAAACAGAAGAAATTTCCATTAAAATTAACATGGTAGGGTCCTCCAAATTGAATTATGGGTTTTAATTAATTAGAAAGATAAAAGTAAGAAAAAGTTTAAATCAAAGGTGCTCCCAACTAGACAAACAGGATTATTTGATTAAAACTTAAGGTTTTTTTCAGCTCAGCACCTGTAGCACAGTGGTTATGGTGCTAGCCGCATACACTGAGGCTGGCGGGTTTGAACCTGGCTCAAGCCAGCTAGACAACCATGACAACTGCAACAACAACAACAAAAAAATAGCTGGGCATTGTGGCAGAGGCCTGTAGTCCCAGCTTGGGAGGCTGAGGCAAGAGAATCGCTTAAGCGTAGGAGTTTGAGGTTGCTGTGAGCTGTGATGCCACAGCACTCTACCACGGGCAACATAGTAAAACTCAGTGTTAAAAAAAAAAAATTTAAGGTTTTTCTTTTAGATTCTTTGATTATATACAGGCTTGTTGTAAAATCTTTTTATTTATTACCACTGGAATAACAGCTTTCTATAAATAAAATTTGATTTAGATAAACCTTTTCTCTTTAGAAAGAAAAAAAGAGAGAGAGTGATAATACTAATACATGCTTTTTTTTTTTTTTGAGACAGAGTCTCACTATATCACCCTTGGTAGAGTGCTGTGGCGTCACAAGCTCACAGCATCCTCAAACGCCTGGGCTTAAGAGATTCTCTTGCCTCAGTGTCCCAAGTAGCTGGGCCTACAGGTGCCTCGCTACAACGCCTGGCTATTTTTGTTGTTGTTGTTGCAGTTCCCATTATTGTTTAATTGGCCCAGGCTGGGCCTAAACCAGCCAGCCTTGGTGCATGTGGCTGGCGCCATAACCACTGTGCTATAGGTGTTGAGCCCTAATATGTTCTTTTTTTTTAAAGAGACAGAATCTTACTTTATAGCCCTTGGTAGAGTGCTGTGTCTACCAGGGCTTCTACCGAGGTCAATAAAGTAAGACTCTGTCTGAGGCAACAAAGTGAGACATAGTCTCAAAAAAAAAAAACTTCTACCAAAATGTTTTATTTTTTTACAGTTTTGTTTTTTTTTTTTTTTTGTCCGGGGCTGGGTTTGAACCCACCACCTCTGGTATATGGGGCCAGTGCCCTACTCCTTTGAGCCACAGGTACCACCCCCGCTCCTTTTTTTTAAAGATAGGGGTCTTACTCTGTTGCATTGGCTGGAGTACAGTGGTACATACAATCATAGCTCACCACAACCTGCAAGTCCTGCACTTAGTTATCTTCCTCCACCAGCCTTCCAAACAGTTAAAACTACATACACATGCCACCACACCCAGCTAACTAAAAAAAAAAAAAAAATTTCAGAGACAGACTCTGGCTATCTTGTCCAGGCTAGTCTTGAACTCCCAGTCTTAAGCAATCCTCCCACTTGGGCCTCTGAAATTGCTGGGATTAACAGGTGTGGGCCACTATATATAGCTAAAGGAATTATTATTATTTTTTTTTTAAGAGACAGTCTCATTTTCTTGCCCTCGGTAGAGTGCTATGGTGTCATGGCTCACAACAATCTCAAGCTCTTGGACTTACGCAATTCTCTTGCCTCAGCTTCCCCAGTGGCTGGGACTACAGGGGACCACCACAATGCCCGGTTATTTTTTTGTTGCAGTTTGGCTGGGGCCAGGTTCAAACCCGCCACCCTCGGTATACAGGGCCAGCACCCTACTCACTGAGCCACAGGCACTGCCCTATCTTTTTTTTGAGAGACAGTCTCACTTAGTCACCCTCAAACCCTAGGGCTTAAGCGATTCTCTTGCCTCAGCCTCTCAAGTAGCCGGGACTACAGGTGCCCACCACAACTTCATCTCTATTTTTTTAGAGATGAAGTCTTACTCTGGCTTAAGCTGGTCTCCAATGCATGAGCTCAGGCAATATACCTGCCTCGGCCTCCCAAAGTGCTAGGATTACAGGCATGAGCCACCTCACACAGCCAGCTACAGAAACTATTGATGAATAATGGGTTAAACACGGGGCTTCTGGTTGTTCTTACCTATTGACAGTGGTACAAAGTAATAAAATAACCCCAGAGACACGAATGTGTTTATGTTCTTATATATACATGCATGCAATAAGAAGTTGGTGGGATCAAAAATGCTCTCTGATCACCAAGGGCCTCTATATAGGTATTAACTACATTCACCCACCCAGCAATCACAAGAATATTTTACAGACAAGGACTGTGTGATGCACAGAAACTGCCCAAGGGATTTGAATCCCATAATTACCTGGGATTCAAATCTTAGCATCTACCACCATATGGTTCCAAGATAATTAACATAATGAACATTTCCTACTCATCCCTTTGATCTGCTTTAGTTTTATTCAGAGCACTTATCGCTATTTGTTGTTATGTATTTACTTGTCTAATCTCTTTCCTACTTGAATGTAAGCAGCATGAGGGCAGGGAATTGTTCTTTTGTATTCAGAGCTTTATCCTTAGCGCATAGTACATAGTAGGCTCTCAGCAAATACCGATTGATTGAATGAAGGAATAAATACAATCTCACTACTGTTTAGGTCACAGATGAATGTAAAGAATAGCAAAGGAATTAGTATCATGGCCTTATGCAAATGCTACAGAGAATATGCTAAATGTTTGCTGTAACTCATTTTTAAAACAACATTGAACTGTGATCTTCAAACGCCTGTAACCCTAGCATACTGGGAGACCAGGGTGGGTGGACTGCCTCTTGGGAGACTGAAGCAAGAGAATCTCTTGAGCCCAAGAATTTTTCTTTTTTTTTTAAATTTCAGTCAATGTGAGGGTACAAACAACCAGATTACAATATTTGAATTTGTTAAGAGTCCCTCTTGTAGTTGTGTCCTCTACCCGACAGGTGTGTCATATACCCTTTCATTGTGCCCATTTAGTGGGAATATCCCAAAGCCCCCTCCTCTCCCCTCCCTTGTTTGCCTCCCCCCAACATGAATTGAAATGAGTTTTTCTCCTCTGTGGGTGTGAATTAGACCGACTACTGGCTTCATGTGAGTATTGAGTACATTGGATACTTGCTTTTCCATTCTTGTGATACTTTACTAAGAAGAATGTGTTTCACCACCATCCAGATTAACACAAAAGATATAAAATCACTATCTTTTTTTTTATAGCTGAATAGTATTCTATGGTATGTATATGCCAGTTTGCTAATCCATTCCTGAGTTGATGGTGGGCATTTAGATTGTTTCCACATATTGGCAATTATAAATTGAACTGTGATAAACAATCTAGTGCAAATGTCTTTAGGAGAAGATGATTTTCTTAATTTTGTGTAGATGCCTAGTAGCACCCAAGAGTTTGAGGTTGCTATGAGCTCATACACTACAGTATTTTACTCAGGACAACAGAATAAGACTGGCTCCAAAAGAAAAAAAAATCAAATTTGATTTAACTTAAAATATGTTTTTTTCTTTTTTTCTTAAGACAGAGTCTCACTTTGGCATAATGAGTAGAATGCTGTGGCAACCTCAAGATAATTAACACAGTGAATATTTCCTACTGTGCTGTGGCAACCTCGAGCTCTTGAGCTCAAGCAATCATCTTGCTTCTTTTTTTATTTTTAGTAGAGACTTGCTCTTGCTCAGACTGGTCTTGAACTCCTGAGCTCAAGCAATCCACCTGCCTTGCCCTCCCAGAGTGCTAGGATGACAGGCATGAGCCACTGCATCTGGCCCACAATATATTTCTTAAGTTTCTCTAGGCAGAGTCAACTCCATTTGGAAGTTCTTTTGCATTTTTACATGGGGTGGTATAAGAAGGGCCAAAGCATTACATAATGTACCTTGTCATAATACTGTAGCCTGGGGGTAGACACAATCTCTCCATCCTCTGAGCGGATTAAGCGATCTAAGAATTCCTCTTTGCCGACTTCAGATGCTGCCTGACTGAAACATTCCAAAGCCTAGAGGAAAAGAATACAAAGTGACTTATAGTAGATTATTCCAATTCTAGGTGGTACAAATCAGGAGTTTGCATGCTAAAGAAAGCAAAAAAAGGAAGAAAATTATTTAAGATAGTCTATTATATTCATAATTTCTGCCACATCTAAACTCTGTGATACATTAATATTTTCAATAAACTTATCTCATTTTTTATTTAAATGCTATTAATTAAAAAGTCAACCATAATAAGATAATGATGGACAGATAGACACGTAACAAGCCAACTGTAGCAAGATGGTTTTTCTTTTTTGAGACAGAGTTTGGCTCAGGCTGGAACATGTTAACAAGTATAGAATTTGGGGGCTGAGTGCGGGGGCTCATGCTTGTAATTCTAGCAGTTGGGAGGCCAGGGCGGGTAGATTGCCTGAGCTCACAGGTTTGAGACCAGCCTGAGCCAGAGCAAGACCTTGTCTCTAAAAATAGCCAGGTGTTGTGGCAGGCACCTATAGTCTTAGCTACTTGGGAGGCTGAGGCAAGAGAATTGTTTAAGCCCAAGAGTTGGAGGCTGATGTGAACTGTGACACCACAGCACTCTACAGAGGGCAACAAAACAAACAAACAAACAAACAAACAAAAAAACACAACTGTAGAATTTGAGTGGTGGGTCTATACATGTTTCACTATACAAGTCTTTTTTTTT